CAGCTATCTAGACGACGGTAGCATGCATACTGTTAAACTCCAATCATAGCAAAGTCGGATCCACATTATTCCACTTGAGGTTAGATGAAAAAAATATTGAGTGCCTCCGTGTCGCTACTTCTTGTTCCGGAAGCAATTCGAGTTCAACTCGCAGGTAGGTGGCCAGAATGCTTTCTTCATTTGTGGAAAACTATGCTGCGTCAAATACACAGGCATGCGTAGGCTACACAGACAGGGGAAAGCATTATGAATAGTGCTATTGAGGTTCAATGTTGCTGTAACTCAGACTTTTCTGTGCACGGAAATTTATTATTTAAAGATTTGATTTAAAACATCAAATGCATCCTTTTGTGCGGGCTCTTTTCTGGAACACGGCAGCAAACCTTAGTGTAAAACTAAATGAAAAGTATGCTACCACTACCCCGATAAGTCCAATGAAAGCGCTATGTTCAAACGAAAGCAGTATTGCCAGTCGGCTTTCAAAAAATTCGTCACTTGAATATATTACATGTGTCCGTCTCACAAACATTGCTTGAATGCAGAGGTCCGAAAAATAGTAAAACTACAATATTTATTGTGTTTTGGACTTCGTATGAAACAACTTATTACTGCTATTAACACGGCACGTCTCGCGCAACCAGGCCGGGTTTCCTGAGGTCAGATTGTTGCAGTTTAACAATTCCTATTGGTCAATAGCCAAAATTAGAATAGAAAGAAGCCATTCCACGCGTTTACGTACGAATTAGCCGCTCTGAAGTACGAAGATGCGGTTCTATTGACAGAGTGTAAATCGAATACTACGCGCGGTCCAAAAACCTACAGCCCACACTATTCTTAGAATCTTACTGTCAATCGGTACACAACAATGCTTAACACTTATCAAAGTAGTGGTAGTTACAAATCATGGTTGACCTCCGAAAAGTGTCATTTTTCGTCTAATCGTTACAGCAAACCCAAGTTAATAAATGTTCCTTCCAAGACTTTGAAATATGTAAATTACTTTTGAATATATTATGCCAAATAAGTGTCTATGACAATGGTGTAGTAGAATCGCAATTCAATTAATTGTGGCTCTCACGCAGTTCATGTAGAATCATCTACACAAATAGCATTCATTGGCCGAAATAGCCGTTCTTGTAGTATGAACTGTAACTTTCCCAGTACGCAGCTTGCGTGGTTACAGAATGGGTTTGATTGGTCATTTGATGCATCTAAAACAAATAGCGATGTGTCTTATTGGCTAAATGTCTGCTGTGGAATATAAATGCGGAATTGCAGTCTCTAAAGTGAAGTACAGTGCTTTTAAGTACGTTTTAAAAATAGATCGAAACGGTTGATTGATAACAGTATAGACTCAAACTTAATTGACAGCACTAGTAATATCTCCGACAGTACCAGTAAGACGTTCCGGGGTATTGCGAAATAGTTTGCACCACCAAGAGCAGTATATAATACTGCTTTCTGCGCGATATAGAATACATAATTTATAGTTATAGAAATCGGAAACCGCGACAGAAACAGTAGTAAAAATGTTGCTGTATTGCTCTGGAAGACATCAGACTATAAAGCAACGTTCTGGGGGGTAAGGAGTCAATAGGGTCATGTTATGCTGACGGCGCTGCTACACAATGCAATGCATACTGAAGGAAACGTCGAATCTTCAAAAGAAACTGAAGCTGAGTTCACGAGCTACAAATGGAATTGTGATATTTTGGAATAGCAGGAATGGAGACAACCAGAGGACCGTAGCAGCTACCTCATGCAAAAGAATGCTAGCGACGGTGTACTATTTGCTCAAATCTTTGGCAGAGATAAATGCTGTCTTTGGGGTGGGTAATCAAATCAGCGACTTGAAGTACTATGATTTATGGGCTACATTGGGTGGAACGCTTCAGCTACTTGTTTCGATACAAATATATGTTGCTGACTCAAGCGGAGCGCATAGTAGATTTTATTTCACAAAGACAAGTAGGGCGAACTATACCGATACTAGCGAGTACTGCAGATTTACTATCTGTGTTCGGTAATCTCGGTCACCATCTGCTTATACTGATCTTAGCACTTAAATGGTTGAACCTATACTTCTTTTGTCATATCCCCAGGTTCAAACGTTGCGAGGCGTTAGTGTGACCATAAGTACGACATTACAACAGGTAAACTTTGCAACCTTTAACGACCCGGAAACCTTAGCAAAGAAAAGAGCATTGATTTAAACTTCTAACCTTCACCAGAACACCGGTGTCATGAACTTTCGAATCTTCGAAGGTAAGCTGGTGGCTGGACATCTATCGGCCAAATCTCTCCCTTGAAAACCCATAACATGGTAAAAGATTTTAACACGAGCTAATGAAACTATGTTTGCACCTGATTAAAACGCAAGAGCTTGTCACGCGCATCATAAACTGTTCTGTTGCAGTGGTTGTAGTGGTATTTCCCGCAAGTGACGCAAGCCATGGGACGGTGAATGCAATGGGACTCTATGAGAGCCCATATCGGCAAGTAGGTGAAGGCACGATGCAAGGAAAAGGGGATCAAGATGGCTGTGGTTTCTGGCGGACTGGCGCCGTATCTCCAGGCTGGCGATGTGGGCATATTCAAGTCTTTCAAAGACAAGATATCCGTGTTCATCAATGAGTGGAAGCGCTCAGTCCAGGTAAGCTACAGTCGTGGTGGAAATCCTCGCACTCTGTCGATAGCAGTGGTCGTGTCGTGGGTGACAACAGCTTGGCGTCAGATAACGGATAGTATCGTGCAGCAAAGTGTGGGGAAGTGTGGCTTCTTCGCAAACCCGAGCGACTGGTATATCAGTAAGCACGATGTGTACGGCTCGTAGTTCAATGCTGCTTGGAACGCCCGCAGCGATGTGGGTTCCGATTCCGACATCGAGGACGACACTAACAGCTCTTTTGACGACGTGCTTGACACGCTGGTCGAGATCGTGATCGATGAGTAGTCCAGCTTGTAACAACTGAATACATATGCTGGCATTGATGGTTCAGATTCAATTCCTACTGTTTGTGAGTGAATCAAATAAAACACGGTCCTAATAGAACGCTCATCAAATAAAACACCGAACCTCGGTTGGGAGGGCTAGTTTAAAAAGTAATTATAATTTCGGATAGTTATCCGCGTTCTATTGTTATAGAACTCAAAATACTAAATTGTAATACAGATTATGTAACATGAAAACGAAATAGAATAATAATTGAGTACTCCGGCGCATGTTATTGTCTAATCTCTACTGTGGTGTTAAGCAAATGCGTCCACTTCTAGAGAAAGTTTCAATTTTTGAAAAAGAAAACGTACACTCGTTTTTCAGGGGCAGGTTGCGCTAAGTACAGGAGCTCGACAATACGCTTTTAGAGCAAACTTGAATTTAACATGTACTAACCCTTTATTAACGAAATTTTTATATGTGGTTAGCTTTATTAAGACAGTATACAAACATGACCAGATTTCGATCTGACGTGCGGAATCCGTCATAACATCGGATAAACAAAAGCAACGGTTAACAAAGATCGTCTCATTTGAGCAAAACGTTGATAGCTCATTGAACGGTATATCGAATGGTGATACTATCTCAGTATCCTAACCAAAGCTACCCTTATAAATATGCTTAATGTACACAGTAGTTGCATAACGTATTGTCGGCAGGATTACGCCTGCAGCGTCACTTTGCCGTCTCCATTGGTCTTTAGCCGATCTCTGTCACATACACGTGCCTTGACGCCTATTAGTGATGGGTGCATCAAGGCTACAGCCTGAACGAAGACACACCTGAAGTTAGTCCAGACTTGTCTGTTTGGTTTTACATTTCTCTAATTAATCAACTTTCCTCTTTGGAACACCATCCCGGGCACTTGCGATACGTATTCTGCATAAAAGAATATGGACTTTTAACATTCCGTTGGCTCGAGCATACCTAACGTCTGCAAATGAATCGAATATCGAGCTGCAATTGTCTGGTCCGAATGTAGGCCCCAATAAACTATCTGACCTAAATCCAGGTCGAGTCTGGATACGACCTAAAAACAAACTTCCTCTATTAACTGACAAAACGCAATAAGAACCCTCGTTAATACGGACCCAACAATGACATCCACCTGACAGAGAGAACTGATTATCAAGTAGGTATCCGTTTTACCAGTGATACATTTAGGTGTTCACCTTTAACCACTCATCGTACTTATTAAGAATCGGACGTTTCATGGCACTTAGTCTTTCCGGCGTCAGTCCTTTATCGCGAAACGCCTTGAACAGTTTATCCTCAGTGCGCAACACCCTTTTTCATTGAGTTTGGGGGAGATTCTGACCGTTATCCCGTAGAGTATCGCCTTCAAGTACATTGAGAAAGATAGTTGCAATAGTCGGTCTTCTTCATGGGTGTTGAACTCCTCTATGACCATGTCGTTGTCCTCACCCCGCAAGCTCCTCATTTCGTTGACGTTGAACTCAGGAGGTTGTGAACGAATTTGAGATGTCGTAGCGTGTTTCCCATTCTTCGTGGGGGCATCGAAGTGGGGGGTGTTGGGTGGGTCGGCTCGAGAGGTCGCTAGCATCACAGACAGAGTCAAAACCATGATCAACAGGAACGAATGCATTGTCGGGCGTGGATGTCAGGCGGGATAAATTCAGAAATGAGCTCTCAACGGAACCAGCCCCACAATTAATTGGGCTGATCGTACAATATTCACCCTTGCTTATGCAGTGCCGCTGTTGACGCGGCTCGATGATCTTTTGAAACGATTTCCCATGGCAGCATCAATTTCTCGGTGGTGCCAAAATACGCCACCAAAGATTGGCTGCACGACGCTCATGGAATATGTGGAGAATAACTACGACACGCACCTCGACGATATATGGACTGATGCTGCGGTCGTGAGTATGCGTCAGTATCCTGGCGTGGGCACAAGCTTAAGTGGTTGACTGCAGACGCTAGATTGGTACCCTCCAAAAATGAATCGTGCACTCACAGATATTCTGGGGGAAGTGTACAGTAATCAGGCGTTCACTGCTCCTCGAATCGACTGCACCTCCACTTCTCCCCAGCTCGCAATACCCTCCTTCAACGACCTCATGGCACTTCTCGAGATCTCAAACTCAGGCTTGTGCATCTTCATGAAAGCCACACGCTGCATCACAACCACGAGCTCGTCTTCCTCTCCCTCATTCAACATATCATCGCCGTCTGACGTTCTTCTATCATTACCGGATTCGTTGGATTGTTCACTTTCTGTCGACATCGATCGCTTCTGCTTCTTGCGCTTCATTTCCGTTAACACAGTCGTGGCACTGATATCTCTACGTACTCTCTCTTGTGGGTTATACGGATACAAGTTGTCGACATCGACGCTGTCTGTGACAACCACAGCACACGGTTCCCCTCCCATTTGCACCGACTCGTCAAAATATTCCGTCAGCACCACTTTGTTAACCTCCGATGTGATGCCATGGCTATCAGTCGATAACAACCGATAGTTCCAAAGCGACGTCCCGTCGTCCACTGTATCATAATCTTCTCGAACTGTTGTGTGTCCTAACGCTTCGGAGATAGTGATCTCCATGTTGAGCATAAAATATTTTATGGCCTCAAACACTTGTTTAATGGATTGGACGCCTGTGAAGTGGAAGAACTCGAACCTCTCGCAGCAGAAATTGCCCTGGGCATCCTCGTATCGATGATCCATGAGCTGAGGCTTCATAAGGTCCAGATGTTGGCTACGAGCCACTACGTACTGACAGCCTCTCGTGATCATGTCACTCTTTAGACTCAGCAGCACTTGGCGACGCTCCCACCACTCTCGAGGCAGGTGGATGTGTCTGCATAAGGGACTTCCTGTCTGTCGCTCCTAAACAGCGATTAAATCCGCTTTATTAACTAGACAAACACAAGCATAGCAGAATATACAAGTATTATTACCTGCATCCCAGCCAACATGGACCGAGCTCCAGCCACTGCGAGCTGTTGACCGTGTATTACATCTCGGAGGGAATTGTTGGCGCCCACGACGTCTAGGATCTGGGCTCTTGCGCTTCTCGGGCGAGCCTGCAAGCGCTTCAGCTGTCTCTGGAGCACCTGTAGTTGCGTTTGGAGCCGCTTCACCTCGTCCTGCCTCACCAGGTACGAAGGTCTGCGGCGCTTTGGTCCGCCACTTCGCTGTTCCGTCATGTCTGGCGATTAATTGCACTCAAATAACCCAATGGCGATTGATGGCATTCAGACAAAAAAAACCATTAAATTTTTGATGGTTTTTTTTCGTCTCTTAGTTCAGACTTTGGAGTAATCCGCGCCTCTCTATGACGAGATACGCAATGTTGATGCCGCTGTAAAAAAAATGAAGTGTTAGTCCAGAATTGGCAGTCGCCATTTTCACTGCTGGGCCTCGAACCTCAAGACTTCGTCGCACCCATGGGGGTGAACTACCAACGAAGCCCCAGTCGTGATGACAAACCTCATCCCAAGAAGAGGATCCCGACCTACAAGGTCCGTAAAGCAGAAGCTCGAGCGTTGGAGGAGGAAGTTCAGGCTCTACACAAACAGCTCGCAGCTCTCCAAGACGCCAAAGACCACGCCAACATTAATCTTATCACTGCCAAGAACCGAATACTGCGCGAGTGGCTGCGCACGCACGGGATGGCTGTTGCGTCCACTAGCGCCATGATTTTCGACCACCTCTCAAGTCAACCCGAGAACCCGATCAAAGCGCACATTCATTTGCCTAAACAATGGGCTGCTAGACGGGAGACGCTTGTGAACATGAAAGACGACAAGTTCAGACACTGTTACGCATACTTGGCTGCACGCTGCCGTAATCTGGACATGACCAAGGACCATTTTTCCAGTGACCAATACGAAGACGCAGACGGGAACCTCATGTGGCAGCCCTTCGATGTGACTCACTTCCGCGGAGTTAAGTCACTCAAGCAGGTGTTCGACGCAATGGTGTACTTCATGTTCAATATGGAGATCAGTATTTCAGAGACACTGGGTGATATTACCGTTCGAGAGGACTACGATAGCGTTGATAATGGCGCCTACATCTCGAGTCATCGGTTTACGACTAACCATGAATTCGTGACATCGGAGGTCAACACAGTCTCATTTGCTCAGTATTTCGAAGGTCCGAACCCATTGCAAAGCTCGTCGTGTGCTATGTTAGCCACCGATACCATTGATGAAGACGATTTGCACCCATACAACTCCCGTGAATTCATCCGTCGTGATGTTTCGGCCGCTGTAGTGTTGACCGAAGAAAATAGTGGAGACGAAGAGGAACGTGTTGTGATCATGCGTCGCATCGCGTTCATGAAGATCCACAATCCTAAATTTGAAGCTCCGGAGAACGCACTAGTCGACATGAGCGAGCGAATTACTCAGTGGCCGAAGGTGATGATCCAGACCATTCGAGACGTAATTGACGCTCAATCGCAGTAATTTACTTGCCTTTTTTAATTCTTACAAGGCGTCAATGAATTCACGTATCGATTGCAGCATGACTCGAATCCAGCTCGCCGTTCCATCTCCAATCGCGGTAAGTGCATCTGCAGGGACGTCGAATTGTGGACTAAGAGCCTTCAGGAAGACTGCAGACTGCATAATTACAGTCACCTCGTCCTCTTTGACTCTCGGCATTTCCGTCATGAAGAGTACCGCGCTCACGTCCAGTCGAACTCTCGATTTCGGTTCGTATGGGTGTAAATCATCAATGTCAACAGTGTCAGTGGCCATAACCACGCACGGACGGTTGTCCAGGAGTGCGTGGTGGTCATAGCACTTGTCATAAAACACTTTGTTCGACTCGGTGACAATTCCACTCTGACGCGCTGAGATTAAGCGAAAACTGGCAATGGATTCATCACCTCCGACTGTATCGTAGTCTTCTCTCACTGTAATATTGCCCAGTGCCTCCGTTGTGCTGATCTCCACGTTTGTCAAGAAAAACTTGGCCGCGTCATAAACCTCTTTCAATGACTTGATTCTAACCAAGTGGTTCACCTCAAACCGGTTGCAGCAGAAGTTGCCGTCAGTGTCTTCGTAGCGATGTTCCGAAGCGTGTCGGTTCTCCAGATTTAAATTCTGTGAGCGTGCGAGAATGTACTGAAGTGCAACGGTGAGCTTTTCGTCTTTGAGATCCACCAGTATTTGCTTCCGCTTGTCCCAACACTTTGGCAGATGAATGTACGTGTACAGGGGGTTCATAGGCTGCTTCTCCTACAGCCACATCGTAAGAATAAGGAAATCTATCAGGTTTTTTTTTTTAAAAAAAAAAGATTTTAGTTATTTACCAGATAATCCATTAGTTCGGACTGAGCACCCGCAAAAACCAATTTTTGGTCCTGCAACAGTTCCTGGAGCACATTTTTAGTCCGTAATGAACGTTTGAGCAGCTGCAAGTGGTCGCTTGAAGCTTGCTCAGCCTGGGCTTGCAGCTTGTGCACTTGGCTCTGTAGCACTGCGATCTGTTTCCTCAGTGCTGTAGCCTCCTCGCGTCGCACCGTATTAGTGGCCTTGCGCTTCTTAGCTGGCGGCATATTGGCAAATGACTGTCTGCTCTCAGGAAGAAAACCAGAATGATGGTAAGGCGAAAAAAAGTAATCCCAACACGATGACCGTATTTTTATTGGGTTGCACAAGGCTGAAGCAATTTGCAGGCGGGTGTAACCCAGCGCGTTAGCAAACACGTCGGTGGCGCTGTGGAGACCACTCAGTATCAACAGTTGCAGCATGGGGTCAGCAGGTCTGCTGAAGGCTGCAGGAGAACAGCTCTTTATGTTCATACTTTGGTAACTGACAGGATTGCTGTTGTAAGCGTGACGTTACCGCATTCTGAATTGCTTAGTACTACAGCATAAAACTACTAGTACTCGAGGTGCACAACAGGATCCTAACAGGTCAGACTTTAGTTCAAGCAATCCATGACATTAGTCGGGGGAGTTTCGTGCCCATTGGATAGTCTCCTTCTACCTGTGCGTATATGGTTTATTTAAGACTCTGCGAGTTCAAACTCTTTGCATCTAATGCCATAACGAGAATATTTGACGATTTTTTGGGCAGCTACCGCCTTGACAAATATCGGCTTGATGATGCACTAATTCTCTCCACAAGCCAGAGCAAGATAACCAGCAACAAGGCTTCCCATTGGAGAACTCAGTAGTCCAGAGATCTTAAAATTGAGTGCGATGCGTTCACCGCTGGAACACACTGTTGTTAATCTTCAAGCCGCCAATCATTGACTTTACCATAAATCAAGCAACCGGAGTGAGACTTTCAATCATCGAACGGTGCATTGTTTCGCCCCAGCGACCCATGTTGTCCCGCATTTCTTCCCAATTGCTCGTAGACACCGAAAAAGAAGGTCGATTAAGCTGTGAAAAGGCCCACCGTGTGAGAACGACAACGCTCTCTTCCCTTGATTCCAGTTCTTCGCCAAATGTGCCTTCAATCTGTCCAATAGGCGTAACTTTGCGTGTGTACGAGGTCAGCTCTAGAATAGCGTTGATATCGCGTCTAATGCGTTTATTGGGTCGATACGGATGTCTTTCATCTTCATCGACAAAGTCTGCAACAATAAGGCCACGTCCTCTCTCGTGGCCTGGCTCCCTATCCGGCTCGAAAAAGTGCGAGAACAGCACTGTATTCGATTCCATAATTAACCCGTTCATGGTTGTGGACACCAGTCGATTCTGCGTCACGCCTTTGCCGCCACTGTCGTCGTCTTCACGGATCGTAATATGACCCAGTTTCTCGGAGATACTAATTTCAATGTTACAAAAGTACTGCACCAGCATATCAAAGACCTGCTTGACACTTTCCACGCCATGAAACTGGATCGTCGTGAACCGAGTGGAGCAAAAATCTCCATTTGGGAGTTCGTATCGATGATCTTCACACATGGGTTTGCACGGGTCCACATTCGGTCGTCGTTGTCTTAGAAAATTATCCGCATCTCTGAGCTTCAAAGGTTTTAATGCCAGCAGTGTATCTCTCCTTGAGGTTTCATCACGGCTCAAATGAATAAACCTCTGCAGAGGACTGCCTGCTTGAATCGTCTATACAAAAAGTATGAGTAAAAAAAACAAGATTCCTTAAAAAAAAATGTAAACTTACCGAAAGTGCGTATTCCGACATGATTCCTTGAATATTGGCGAACTCAAGTTGTTGTCGCTGGACTGCATCCCGCAGTACTTTGCTAATAACGACTCTGTCCTTGTCGTTCTGTCCTGGTTTGCCAAAAGAATTCAGTGCTTGTTGTTTGAGCTCTTCCATTCGGGCTTGAAGTCCATGCAGCTCTTTTTGCAGCCGCTCTTTCTCTTCCTTCCGAATTGTGTGGGTGGCTTTGCGGTATTTGCGCTTACGCTTCGTCTTCTCCTGGGGCTCGGACTCTGCTGTATCGTCAGATTCCATTATGGGTTTTTCTCGTCGTCTCTTAATGATTGTGTCATTTTGGGTGGTTGACGAGTTTTTCAGGGACGTTTTCAGCGCTAAAAGTGTGTGCGCGGAGCCATCTTCTACGCTACCAGACGGGCTGCTGCGTGCTGAAGAGGGCGACGGGGACGTAGCTGAGGACAAGGACGGCCCAAGCAGCAACGAGCGGTAGTAGCGGTCGTCTCGAATCTCCTCTCGGGACGCATTGAGCACCATTGACACTTGATTATTCCAAGGCGAATTTCTAAATGAGATGGTGAAAAAGTAGATTTTATGTTGGCTTATCAATTAACCCAACCTATGCGACCATCGAAATTGGGTTTTAAAATATTTTATTACGCTAAGTTTTAGAGTATGAATGGTGCTAAGTTTTAGAGTCGCCACGTTGGTGAGCAACCAGTGCTTGGATCCAGGCTCTCCATGATGGTTTCGTGCATATTCTGGCTCCAGCGGTCCATATTCTCTCGTAGCTCATACCATCCATCCTTGCGGACGTGGAAATTCGGATAACGTAGACGAGAATGCGACCATCGAGTGAGCACCACTACTTTCTCATTCTCACAAGTGTACGATCGCACTTCCATGACGGTATTGACGTCCTTACGGATACGCTCTTTCGGTCTATAGGGATGTCGTTCGTCTTCATCCACAAACTCAGCCACGATAAGTCCGTAGCCATCGTGATCCTCTGGTCCTGCACTGAAATACTCGGAGAAGACTACGGTGTTGGACTCCATGTGCAGACCTTTGCCAGTCATGGACGTTAGACGGTTCTGCGTGATCCCTCCTTCCCCACTATCGTCGTCTTCGCGGACTGTGAGGTGACCGATTTTCTCCGATACACTGATCTCGATGTTGCACAAATAATACACCACCAGATCAAACACTTGCTTGACGTTTTGTGCACGCTCGAATTGAGAAGTAGCGAAGCGTACAGCCCAGTAGTCCCCGTTGTCGTTCTCGAATCGATAGTCTTCTGACATCGATTTCAAGGGGTTTAAATGGGAGAGTCTCCTGCTAAGGAAGTCACGTGCGTCTTGGAGCTTCAGCGCTTTCATTGCGTGTAGTGTGTGTCGTCTGGATGCTTCGTCTTTGCCTAAGATGATCGTTCTCTGAATTGGACTTCCGGCTTGAATATTCTGTTTGATTAAAAAAAATATCAATTAGAAAAGAGGTAGCATGATTTTTAAATAGTAAAACGCACACAAGCTGCGTAGCCGGTCATCGCCGACTGGATCTCTACAAAAGCCTCTTGGTGTTGCTTCACCGCGTTATGCAGTACGTTGGTATAAAGCTGTCTCTCCTCCGCTTTCTGGTCGTCACGACTTGGTGCGAATGCCCTTCGCTGCAGCTCAGCCATCTGATCCTGCAGCTCCGCTAATTCAACCCGAAGTCGTTCGATCTCCTCCTAATCATCAGCAACGTAATAATGGATCAATCGAACGAATGTAAGTGCCACAACCAGCAACTCATCGTACCTTTCGGATTGCATGCGTGGCCTTGCGGTATCCACGCTTTCTACGTTTCACAACGCGCACCTCCTCTTCTGTCGTTGAGTGAGTGCTTTCGTCTTCATGGTGGTCACTGCAGATACTCTCCCGTCCATCGTGCGGTTGCGTTAACTTGCTATGTTGCACCCTGGTCGATTCCTCAGTCTCCGGATTTGCATCCAGCGCTGCATATCGCGTCGCCATCTTGCTCATTTTCTTTCGTGGACACTTGGCGTAGCTAGGATGAGCCCGTGGGCCTTCTGGATGGGGACTTGACGACAGTGTCGCAACAACTGAAGCGGTACCGGTATATGCATTGGCAGCACGAAGCAGTGGCAGGAATCTACCTCCCGTCGAGGGGCTATCGGGGGACGAGGAAGGAGATTTGGTGTCAGCAGGCGAGGCAGACGCCGACGACAGGTCCGCGTCGGTGCGAGGCGAGTGGTCGGACGGCAGATTCATGCGCAGTGAAGATCAATGTGCACTGGAGGTGCGACCAGAGCGCAGCAAGTTGTCGACTGACGAAGTCTCATTGATTACGGGGGCTACTCGGCCCAGAGCTCAGAAAGATAAATTATCGAAATAAATTGACTTTCATGCAAGAAAACGTTCATTTTCTCAAAAAGGTTGGTGAATTACGATAAATGCTATAGACCATTTATAACATATAGGAGGTTTTGAGCCGGGAAGCGTTAAGCGATGGAATCTCGAACAACCAGTCGAATGAAGTCCATACAACACGTACTTCTTGTGTTTACTATGCCTTGTCAGTTGCCTGGCATTCCTAGACCGAGCGCTTCAATGTGCAGGTCTTCCGCTAAGCTCAGTTGCACAGTCTTGCCGAACATATCCATCTTTTCGCACAATCCATTCCAGTGCTTAATCGAAACGGAGAATTCCGGACGACGCAATTTGTTCTGCACCCACCTCGTGAGCACCACCGTGGTTTTTCCATCGTCCTTAGTGGACTGCGGACACTCGCGGACTTCCATCACAGCGACCACATCCTTTCGAAGGCACTCGCTCCGTTGGTACGGATACTTCTCGTCATCCTCAACGTAGTCCAGCACGATGACCCCATAATCTCCCTCTCGTTGCTCGTAGAATTGGGCAAAAATGATCGTGTTTGACTCCACTTTTAGGTCGTCGATGGTCGTGGATCTGAGTCGATTCTGGATGATACTTTTGCTGCCGGCGTCGTCGTCCAAGCGGACGGTGATGTGGCCAATTTTCTCCGAGATACTGATCTCGATGTTGCTGTAGTAGAAGACCAGTAAGTCGTAGATCTGCTTGACGCTGCGAGCATCTTTAAGCTGAGTTATTGACAAGCGCTCGGAGAAAAAATCCCCATTGCCCATTTCAAAGCGGCGGCCTTCGTCGCAGATGTTTCGCAGGTTGGTGTTGGGTCGACGCAGGCGCAAGAAGTGCTCACCCTTGGATATTTTGCTCGCTTTCAACTCTCTCAATAGCTTTCGTCGGGACTCTTGGTCTCGTTTTAACGTGATTTTGTCATGCAAAGGTGAACCAGCTTGTGCGTTCTGCGTAGTACGCATATCGACAAGCTAGCGTGTCAATTCATCCATTAGAAAGGTTTGCATCTAATAAAGAACGTACACATAGTGAAATCTCGGACATAATAGACGCAACTTCACCAAACTTCTGCTGATTTCTGTGAACAGTGTAGCGCAATTTACGTCCGACCTGGATACTCCTGGTCGTCTCTTGGTCCACGTGGTCCATCGACGCCATGGCTTGTTGCTTCAAGCTCTCTAACTGGGCGTTCAGTATGGCCATCTCGTTCAGAAGTCGCTCCTTCTCCTCCTTCAGCACACACAACGCAAGCATCAAAAACTGATATCTCACACTTATGCCCTCAACGCCATACCTTCCGAGCTACATGCGTAGACTTCCGGTGTTTCCTCGTACGCCTGGGTTTAGCTGTAGCCTCCTCCGACGAGCCCAATCTGGTTATATTAGCAGCAGCATTTTCGCTCTCCAGCACTTCATCAAGCCCCACGGGGATAATCGACGCGTGTCTCTTCCCCAGAGCTCGTGGAACTGTTGAATATTCCATTGTCTTTCTAGCCGTGCTTGAGCCCTCGTCTGCCGTGGCAGAAATGCCCCAACATCGATCCATTACGCTGTCTGCTTCGCTTCCTAGCACCAGAATGCGTTCCTAGATGTGTGCGTATCACCGTCGCACTTGAAGACGGGTAATCCAGGATCAGATGATTGCGCGCAACTTCTCACCTAAGTACGACGTGCCTAGCTAAGTCCGACTAGTCAAAGGGCAACTTAAGCTGAATGACAGCACAATGTAGTTGGATGGATTAATCATTGCTGTGGATGAAGACTCTCAACCAGCGTGCGGTGTAGTTGAAATCCCCAGCTGTCCATGGAATGCTGGAGCTCTCTCCACCCTTCGATCGTCATGGGGAACTCCGGGTGGTGTAGCGTGTTCTGTACCCATCTAGTCAGCACAACGACCATCGCCTGTTCACCTGAGTTGTCGTCCTATGGACGATCGTAACCACGCACTTCGATAACCCCGTTAACATCCTTACGGACGCGTTTTTTAGGTCGGTACGGATAACTCTCGTCGACGCCCACAAACTCCGACACGACGATCCCGTAGCCACAGTCCGAACACTGGATATCGTCCCGTTCGTAGAATTCGGAGAACATAATGATGTTTGACTCCATTCTCACAAACTTTCCGGTCGTAGTAGACATCAAAAAATTCTGTGTGATCCCCTCGATAGTGCTATCGTCATCATTTTCTCGAACGGTGACGAGAGTCTTGAGCTTCTCCGAGACACTGATCTCCATGTTGCTGAAGTAGAAAACCACCATATCAAAGATCTGCTTTACGCTTTCAATACCCTCGAACTGAATAATCGAGAAGCGAACGGAGCAGAAAGCCCGGCTATCAGTTTCATAGCGTCGGTCCTCTGTAAGATCCTTGAGTGGGTCCAACTCTGATCGACGAATTTCAAAAATTCCTCCCCTGCCTTGAGCTTCCTGAATTTCATTGCTTGCAGAGTTTTCATGTCGAGATTTTGAGTCTTTCTTTAAGATAATCTTCTCTTGTAATGGTGTACCAGCTTGAATGTTCTGCAGTCAGCGTCGTCATGTGAGTACACACGTTATTCAGCGTTAAGGTATCGCTACGTACGCACAGCGTGTAATCCGACATGATTGACAGAGCCTTGCAAAACGTTCATATGCTCCTGAACGCCTTCTTCCATCATCTGACGGCGTGAATTACGCACCAATCGATCTACGGGATAGTCGAATCTATCGCTCGTTTCTTGAGCGCCGTCATCTCTTTCTGTAAGATCCCCATCTCCTTCAAAAGCCTCTCCATCTCTTCCTACAAAATAATGTTTTAGCTTCTTCACTAAAACCTGCATCTTTAGTTAAAAAAAAAGAAATATCACCACCTTTCGTAAAGTATGCGTCCTCTTGCGGTGCTTCCTCTTCGGATACTTGCGCTTTTGGTCGCGCCACCTCGTGAGTGTCGACGTCGCTTAAAACCTGCGAGCGCTCCTCCGCATCTGATTCTGGCCACTTAGCCGTCGACGAATTCGCTGTGTTTCAATTGGTTTGGGTCCAGGCGAGCGCGTTGGTGCTGCAGTGTCGCTTAACGGGGATGAGGTCGAGGACGACGTAGCAGAGGATGCCGTTCCAGCTCGAGGGAACGCGCCTCGCCTGATAGACAGCAAGCGTAAAGCAACGTCTTTATGTGAAAACTGGACAAAATCGGGGGCTATCGTACAGCACAGTGTTGATTAGGACAATTGCAATGCTCCAAATATCGTGTTGACTTAAACTAAATTGTGACTATGGTCAACCACGAAGATTTTCTGCTATCGTTCGATGCAAGGCTCGTCCCCAGAGATCCATATTATCGCGTAATTCATACCATCCGTCGGTGCAAACGAGGAATTTGGGGTAGTGCATTCGGTTCTGTACCCATCGGCTAAGGACAACCACCGGCTTGCCGGCCTGGTGTTTTGGCATAAACTCGCGGATTTCCAGTACGGCGTTCACGTCGCGACGTACACGTTGACTAGGAACGTACGGATGTCTGTCGTCTTCGTCTACGAAGTCAGCGACGATGATCCCGTAACTTTTGTCTACTGAGCCTATACTCTTTTGTGTACTGCGGTCGTAGTACTGCGAGAACATGACTGTATTCGACTCCATCTTCACATTTTTGTGGGTGGTAGACACCAGTCGGTTCTGTACAATTCCTCCGTCATCACCTCCATCGTCTTCACGGATCGTAATGTGGCCGATCTTCTCCGAAATACTGATCTCAATATTGCAGAAATAATAGAGCAATAGATCGAAGACTTCCTTTACGCTCTTCGCGTCTTTGAATTGCGTAACAGTGAAGCGAGTCGAGCAAAAGTCTCCGTTCCCTGCCTCGTAACGACGTTCCTCGCCCATGACGTTGCACGGATCGAGCTTAGGCCGACGCATTTCCATGAATCGTTGTGCCTTCTCCATCTTTTTGATCTTAATTGCCGCCAATATATCACGTCTGGTTTGCTCATCGGTCTTCAAGTGTATAAAGTCTTGCAGTGGACTCCCAGATTGGATGGTCTATAGGAAATATAAGACTGTTAAGAGAGTCACACTGAAGCCAGTAACGACGGAACGTACGCATAATGTGTACTCGGACATGATGGAAGACAGCTGGCTGAATATTTGCTGACGTTGTTGCACGCTTTCACGCAAAACTCTTCCTGCCTCATACTTCCGCTTCAAGATCTCTTCGTTCTCGTCAAATGGACCAATCTTTCGACTTCGCATGTCCACGATCTGAGCTTTCAGAGCCTCAATCTCCATCTCCAACCTTGCTATTTCCTCCTGCAAAAAAATAGCGAATCGTCAGTATATACAGCAAACAGAATGCACCACGACATTTGTCCTTCACCTTTCGAATAGTATGCGTCGCCTTGCGATACTTTCGTTTGCGCTTTGGTTTCTCACCAGCTACGGTATTACAGCTCGTTCCCTCTTCGTCACTCGTGCTCAGCGGCCTCGGTGCGTCCTCAACATATCTCTTTTTCGTCGTGTAGTGCTCTTCATCCCCTCGACTGAGTCGGTTATACCGCTCCAGATTCGTCATCACCGTCCTATTGTCGATCCCCTGTCTCCAAATGGCCGCCTCCCTCCCTTCCGTCGACACCACCCAGGACTTCGCTATGTCCGCATCGCTTACAGACGTTGAAGATGAGGCACTAGCATTAAAAACCGCGGACGCACGCAGCAGCGCCGGGCTGGGCATCGCGTTGAGCGTCTGGAACGGCGTCTGCGCCTGCGGGAAGCTCGGCGCTAAGCTGAAGCCCGCGACTGCTGGATGGCGGTCACCAATGAGACGGGCCGGCCTCCGCTGCTGCCCAGTGGCGTCACCATTGAGTCGGGCGATGTCCTTCATCGCAAGAGCTCAAATGGCTCGCAAACAAGCGGACGATGGTGACGGGCCACTTGTACCATATTTATGGTACAGTGAACATAATCTGATTGGCTTTAATTTCGAACCTTATTCACCAATCACAATCATTTTTGCGACTAGCGAGACCTAAAAATGTAGCCATCGTTTATTGCCCTTTTACCTCCGACAGCAGACTACGGGGGACAACCGCTCCATCATAGTATGGTGCAGTGTTTGTATCCATCGCTCGGTGTTGTCACGCATCTCATGCCAGCCGGACTGCGGGATGTCGTACTCGGGGTGATACACCTTGCTGTGTACCCATCTTGTAAGCACCACAACTCGTCCCTCGCTCGTGTTCTTCGATCTGGTGCGTACCCCATGTCTTATTGGGTACGACGTGAGTTCCAACACAGCGCTGAAGTCGCGGCGAATACGTTCGTGCGGATGATACGGGTTTAAATCGTCGTGGTCCACATAATCCGCCACAAAGATGCCGTAGCCATTTTGATGACCTGCATCTTCGTCGCCAGGTTCGTAGCGAGAGAAATATACCGTGTTTGACTCCATCCGCAGCCCACCGATCGTAGTAGACACCAGTCGATTCTGTGTGATTCCTGGCGCCATATTGTCGTCGTCTTCGCGGATTGTGATGTTGCCGAGCTTCTCCGACACACTAATCTCGATGCTGCTGAAGTAGCCGAGTAAAATATCGTACACTTGCTTCACTGTGTTCTCGAACTGCATCGTAGAAATGTACGTCGCGTAGAAATCCCCGTTCGACGCTTCGTAGCCGTGATCTTCTCGCATTGGCTTCAATGGATCCACTCGAGGTCGTCGGTCGTTTAGGAACTTGGCTCCATCCTGCAGTACCTTGCTCTTCAACGCCAATAGTGTAGCGCGTCGTGCATGCGTGTCCTTCTGTAAGTGAATTGGCCGATGAATCGGACTGCCCACTCGAATATTCTGTCAAAATGTCAAATAAGAAAAAAATAGTTAGAAATAGCACAAAATTTAGAAATACTACCCACTCACAAATAAAGAGTACTCGGACATGAGGGCGTGAATCTTGGTGCATTCCAGTTGTTGCTTCTGGATCGCCCGTCTCAGCACTCTATTCGCACTCTGCATCTCGCTTGGAGTGCGAGCTTCCACGCCCACACAAGTGGCGAATGCGCGTGCCTTGATCTTTTCCAGCTTGGTGTGCAGTTCTGCTAGTTCCTCTAATAAAGTTGCCTTCTCCTCCTGCGATAAAACCCAATGTAATCAATAAAACCCAAATATTCACAAAATTTCCATTTCCTCCTACCTTGCGCACGTTGATGGTGGACTTGCGGTACTTCCGCTTGGGTCTTTTCTTCTGAACTTCCTGCGTCTCTTCTCCACTGTCTTTCTGCGACTCATTCAGTTCACGCTTCTTGCATACAGGACTGGAGTCTGCACTGGGTGAAATGTCACTCGTCGTCTCCGTCTTGTCGTCGTCGTCATGCATCTCGTCCATCGACGCCAGCCACTTGGTCGCCATATCTGTCGCCAGCCGCGTGGGGGACTCGAGCGCCTCGGGCACCGCCACCTTCGCGTTGCCACTCATGGCCGAAGACGCACAGTGCCGGTGCTTGGGACCGAAAAGGCAACAGGTTTTTGATGGATAATTTTGCAAATCGCGTGGGAAAGGTGAAATCGGAAATAAACGAGATTTTTTTTTTTTTTTTTTAGTTGAATGCAACTTTGCCAAAGCGAAAGCACCAGCACTGTTCTGTGTGGAGAAAAATGAAGTGGCAAATGGTAGTGAACGAGAAAGTATTCTGCAATTTAGTGGCAAGATGACAAGTGGCAAGGAGAAAGTGAGGGTGACTGCGGAGTATCGACTATGTTGTGCGACTAGGAGCTCAATTGAAAAGTTAGAGTCGCCTGTGTTGCTTGGACCGCTGGACCACATTACGCAGAACTTCACGCCGATTACGGTTGTTTTTGTGTATCATCGATCGGAGTCCCTTAAGGAAGAATTGGTTCCTTTAAAGCGATTTCAACGGAGTTTGGAGCGATTGCTGGACTATTATCCTCACCTAACTGGTCGAATTGTGGTGGACGAAAAGGATAATACGCCTCGGATTGAGCAACTCGGTGCAGGGGGAAAGTTGATTGAAGCTAAAAGCAGCGAACCACTTGAAGCGTTTGAGGCGATTGGAGACGATGATGAACCTGCTTCGAAGCCTCGACTGATCGTTACGAATCTTCCTGAAGGAGGCAATGCGTTGCTGCCATCATTGGCAGGAATAAAGAACCCGATTCTGAGTGTGCAACACACACGGTTTGCGTGTGGTGGAGTGGCAATTGGAATGTGCATCAGACACATAATTTGCGATGCATCTGGATTTTTCCAGCTTATACGTGATCTCTCCGAGCTGTATCGTCAATTTCCAGGTTGCGACAATGACAACGGCAGCGTACAGCTCTCTAAACCACCACATACTCATTCTTATAAGGCGGAGCTACACAACATGACGTCTGAGGAGCGACAAGAAGCACTTAAGTACCAACCCACCGGTTTCAAGCTTTCACCGGAAGCGGGAAAAGCAGAGAAGGAGACAAAAAGCAGAACCCTTTCTCCCACTGTGGTAGGCCGTGTACTACGCTTTTCTTCAAGTGAGCTTACAGCGCTAAAGACCAAAGCAAACATAAACAACAACGGTAAACCACTGTCGACCTTCTGTTCTACGGCTGCTCACATTTGGCAAAGCATATCCCGTGCACGAGCGCGTCTACGCGAAGCTAATAGCGTGGTACCAATTAAAGCAGCTCAGCTTTTGATACCCGTTGACTTTCGCGCCCAAAACCAAAGAGATGTACCACCTCAGTATTTCCCGAATGCTGTGTTTTCCCCAGTTGTATCAGCCCCTGCGGCCCAACTGCTGGACGCCCCACTATCTACCGTCGCTGCGTGGATTCGTGAGGGTATCCAGCCTCAGGAGTCAATCGAAATGTTGAAGACAGTGCGCTGGATTGCAGCGCAACTTGACAAGCGGCGTGTGCAGCCTTGGTACAACTACGAGCAGGAAGGTGTATTTGTGACTCAATGGAGCAAGTTCGATATGTACCAGGGTGCCAGGTTCGAAGTATCACCGTCACTTGTGGCTCAACCATTCACGACTTCATCACTATATGATGGGCTGACTTACTTTATGGCCACTGAGGACCAGCTAAAGCAGTCGGCGTGTTCTGCAGGAATTTCGTCAGGGAACATTGACGTCAGTATTGCACTCGCGGAGCCAATCTGGACTATTCTAGATCAAGATGAGAGCTTTCGACGTCATCGTGGCTGGTAAAGCGATGAATATCTTTTGAGCCTTACCGAATAGGTTTCTGAATGTTGCTGCGATGTAAATAAATACACAGAAACAGTTGTGCTTGCAGTCGGCACAGCTAATTACCAAGCACCCAAATGCGCTCCATGTAGACTGTCAGTCAAGGATCTGATCACCAATCCGGTACAGACATTCGTCGCAGTGAAAGATAGGGCCGTGGGTGCGAAATGGTGACAAGTGACTATCTGCACAGATACTCTAAACGCACATGCAGCGACAAGCAAACCCAACTTTAAATTAAAGTACAACAATGACTCATCCTGAATATGTGCGACGAAGATATTAGTGGGCGTGTTTGACAATTTGTTTTGTCACCAATGATTGCACTAAATGTGAATTCTTTGTGCATGCTTTTATCCGTACATCTGTTCCGCTTGAAGCCAATTTTGAGCCCGGCAGGTGGATCATCCGATTTTGCGTTATGATTGTGTCAATCTCGTATAAACTAAAATGTGCGTTCAACCAGAGCGTTGATGTATGCATGGTTTCGGCTGGTGTGCCATTGTAGCTTCACTTCCGTGTATGATAGTACACTTCTTGCTGAAAGTAGCAATCTTACCAGGTGTTAAATTGATTACGCGGTATCGTTGTAGGCGTTGGTGTGGGCACTATTGATGCAAGTTTACTTTACTTTTTTGGTATTACTTCAACTATCATACTTCCAGTTGCTGGGTCTCAGCAATATGTAGGAGTTCAATACAGCACCAACCATGATGATATCATGTTTAGTGCCTATCAGATGTATTGGAGCACAAGAATGTTTCCATTGGTCACTCGGATACTTGCAAGGGCTGCTTTCCAGCTCCAACCAGGAACTTCTTGGACCACGGTAGGACACACCATCACGAATTCCTATCCTCCGTACTGTAAACACCACATGCTCTCGGCCCCTTAGTGATGTAAAATGTGTTCATGTGTCATGACGACAGATCCGAGTCCCAGATGCCCCCTTATTTTATCCAGTTCATTTCTGCCAAGCCTCATTTCCAGATTCCCTGACAACCAACAACACCAAACGGCAGAAGACGAATGAGGTTTTACCTCCTCACCGCTCTCGCGGTGGCTACTGTTCAAGTCTCCGCTGTCTCCAACACTTCTTCCCATGGAGACTTGAATGGCTGGTATCCCTGCTACGACTTTACTTTTGCTGACGAGGGATCGTCGCCCGGAGAGGACGCCGAATGCGCCCTGTACATCGCTCCTCTATGCTATCCTGGAATTTGTGAGACGCCGGACAACATCGAGTCCACCAAAGTCGAGATTTTCGTGAAGCGCATGCTAGCCACTTCGGGCAACCCCGAGACTGCACCCAACGTCTGGCTGATGCAGGGTGGCCCTGGTTACTCGTCTACTGCAAGTAAGTTCATCTAATTCCTCCATAACTCTATTCGCATCAGTAACTCTAACTGTAACTGATGTTTGTTTGCCAGTGGAGAGTACTATGGTTAGTCTTCAACAGCAACTGGAAGGGGCTGTGAATGTTTACACAATGGACCACCGCGGCACTGGACGCAGCACTTTATTCAATTGTGTGGCGGCTCAAGTGACCACCTCGGGTTCTCCCTGGGGAAACGACTTTATCGCGTCGGAAGTGCCCACGTGCGCTAAAGATTTACAGTTCAAATACGGTGGCGACTTAGCGGCCTTCTCCGTAACGAGCGCTGCTACCGACCTCAAGACTTTCATCGCTAAGTACACGAATGGCAAGAGTACGATTGTCTACGGCGTCAGCTACGGCACGATGTTAGTTGAGCGGCTGATTCACTTGGCTCCGCCCGCAGTAACCGGATATGTCCTCGACAGTATTAGCACTGCCTCTGGTAGTCAAGCCGCGTACTATTCGGACTGGGACAAGAATTACGGGGAGATTGGAGACGCCTTTTTCGAACTCTGTGACGAAGACAAGAGTTGCAAGGCCCATTTTCAGACCAAGAGACTCAACGACACTGTCCAAGCACTTATCGATACTTTTGACAAGGAACCGAATTCAACTTGCGCTGCGCTGATAAGCAACGTGAAGTCCAAAGGCCTCGACGGCCTGCCTTCGTCCTCCCTACGCTATACTCTGGGCATTCTTCTTCAAGATACCAACATGCGAACACTGATCCCACCTGTTGTGTATCGACTCAACCGCTGTGCATCGAAGGACATCAACGTTCTGAAAAAGTTCGTGACGACTCTAACAACAAGCGTCCTCGGCGGTAAGAGCGAAGACGAAACGTACTTGTCGAATTTGCTCTTTTACCTGATCATATACTCCGAAATGTGGGAGATCCCGACACCATCCAAGGTGGAGATGAAGGCACGGTTCATCAACGCTAAAGTTTCGGACGACCCGACGTATCCGATGGATCCGGTTTACTGCGCATTCTCGAAGGAAAAGTCGAAAGCTTGCGCCGAGTTTGGGCTGAGTGGCTACGACGCTAACCCCATTATGTACGAGCGTGATCAGTACTGGAACAAGAGTGCTACAATTCCGAATCAAGCCAGCGTTCTACTACTCAGCGGTAAACTGGACCCCCAGACGCACCACAAGTACGCCGATGCCCTAATTCACTCTCTAAAAGGTGACAATAAGGAGTTGATCTCGTTCGACTACTCTCCACACGGCATCACTTCATCGACTCAGATGGTTGCAGGAGACCCGAACAGTGAAATTTGCGGGATGAAGCTGCTTCTATCTTATATACAAAGTGGTGGCGATCTGAAGAAAATGGACAAGTCGTGTGTGGCCAAAATGCCAGGTTTCGACCTCACGATTCCACCTGGCCATCTCCATGGGTTACTAGGAACGGATGACGCTTACGAAGGCGTCTACAAAGCACCAACTCGACCGTCCCAGTGACCCAACAAAGTCGAAAAGTGACATTAGATCAACTTCAATGTCATTTTTTGTATTCCCGGCGTTTTGTGTGGTCCACATTCACAGTAATTGCGATCTTTTTTGGTGTTGAAGTGACAGCTCCGCTAAAATGATGGCCAAGTTCCTTGTGCTCCTGTGCATCGTTGCAATCTTCACTAACCACTGCAGCCATAACGCCGATGCCTCCATAGCACCCCGGTCGTATTTTTCCAGTGTTCGTACGCCTCAGTCGCCAAACGACCCAGTCATCGCTGACGCCGCCAACGTATTAACATTTTTTTTACCCTACATGCAACACTCTTTACGCTAACCATAATAACGCTAATGTCACTTTGCAGTGTGCGGTGGATCAGCTTCGAGCACTGTCAGATTCCGGCATCTACACGACGTTGTCGCTCTCTAAGATCCACGCAGCAGCGACGGAGGTGCGTACTTAGTAACTTGTGTATCATTAGAACACGTCTAACGTCTGGGTACAGTTAGGGGATTTCCATTACGTGATTCACCTGCAGGTAGCGTTAGCGTCTCCCTATTTCCGCAGTAAACAAGAAGTGGAGGACTTCGAGATGATGGTATTGGAGAGCAAGCCTCGCATAGAGGAACGCGCTAGCGGCAAATTCAACGCTACCCGCAGTATTGCTATTGATGAATTTCCGGAAATGGACGAAGACGCTATTGAGAATTTCTGGATAGAAATGGTTGAACAAAGACGTCAACGTCGCCGCGAGTTGTTCGACAAGTGGGAACGTGAAGAACAAGAAAACGAGGCAAGTAGCAGCACTAATCAACCTGGGAAGGTCACAAAGACCTTAACACTCGACGAACTCCAGAAGATGCCTACCAAGCAGCTTCGTCAGCTACTCACACCGGAGAGTACAGCTGCGCTCCGTGCCGCTATCTCAGCCATTCTGGACGAACGCCTTACACTCCTCGAACAACGCGAAGAAGCTCTTAACCGCGACGAACTGTAAGCTAGTGCTTCTTTGTTAAACCAAAGCAAGTTAGATGAGATCTGCCACGTTCATGGGCATCTCGTCGATCTGCGTGCTATAGTACTGTTCAATGTCACGCAGGATACGGATGTCGTCGTCCTTGACGAAGTTGATAGCGACTCCCTTACGGCCAAAGCGACCGGAACGACCGATACGGTGGATGTACAGCTCGCGGTTGTTAGGCAGGTCATAGCAGATAACCAGCGACACTTGCTGCACGTCCAGACCGCGACCCCAAACGTCTGTGGTAATGAGGACACGGGAGCCACCGGAGCGGAACTCCTGCATGATGGCGTCTCGCTCCTTCTGGGGCATATCTCCGTGCATAGCGGAGACGGTAAAGTTGGCCTCACGCATCTTGGACGTCAGCCAGTCCACTTTCCGCTTCGTATTGCAGAAAATCACAGCCTGAGTGATGGTCAGAGTGTCGTACAAGTCGCACAGAGTGTCGAACTTCCACTCCTCCTTCTCCACAGCCACAAAGAACTGCTTGATGCCTTCCAGCGTCAACTCGTCGCGCTTTACCAGTACTTTAACCGGTTCGTTCATGAACTTACGCGTTAAGTCCAGCACTTCTTGAGGCATAGTGGCTGATACCAGTAATACCTGGGTAGACGGCGGTAAATACCGGTATATATCGTAGATCTGCTCCTTGAAGCCTTTGTTCAGCATCTCGTCGGCCTCGTCAATCACCAGCATCTTGATGTTACGCGTGCGCAAGTTGCGCCGACGGATCATGTCGAAGATTCGACCGGGTGTACCGGACACAACCTGTACACCAAAGTCGAGACGACGGATGTCCTCGCCCACGCTCTTACCGCCAATACAGGCGTGACATTGCACGTTCATGAAGTCTCCCAAGGCCAAAACGACCTTCTGAGTCTGCTCAGCCAACTCGCGAGTGGGGGAGATCACCAGAGCTTGCGTTTCGTTGCTCGATGTGTCCAGAGATTGGAGGATGGAGATGGAGAAGACCGCAGTTTTGCCTGTTCCTGACTGAGACTGAGCGATCAGATCGCGGCCCTGAATTGCTGGTTTAATGGCGCGTTGCTGGATGGCTGAAGGCTTCTCGAAGCCTGTTAAACCGCGTAGAAACCAATAATAACGATGGCAATATGCGGGCGTGAGCACTCTACTGCGATCTAGAGCATATGATAGAGAGGAGAGACGTACCGTATGAGTAGATTCCTCGGAGAAGGTCTTCCTTGAGCCCCATGGCTTCGAATGTGGGGAAGACGGTGATGTCCTTGGACGTCGTGAACTCCACTGTGTCTCCATCATCTTCGTCCACAAGACGCGTACCTAGAAGAAGAAATAGGACAGCAATTGATAGCCCAGAAGGTCAGCTATGTGGTCGTAGTGCATGGAGCAGGTGAGGGTGCGTAGGGAGAGAGGTAGAGGCACACGTACGTCGCTTGGTATCCTCGCGTGGCATGGTTGCTGGGCGGTCTTCGAGATGTGTGACGCCAACCACTGAAGCGTTTCTAACGTTTCTAATTTCTTGATAGAAATACGGTATCATCTGTAATTAAGGAGATTAGGGACAGAAAAAAATAGAATACAGTATCGATACTCTAACTTTCTTGTCTTAATTAGAACTGTGTCATTAGAATTCCTATTGACGATTACTCAAATTTTTAATGGTTTTTTTCCCGTCTGAATGCCATCCAAGTTCAGACAGAATCTTGAATTTAGATACAAAAAAGTACTTTGTATTGAAGAAGTGCGCATTGGTTTCGGCCCAATTTTTTTTTTTATTAAGATGGGCCATAAGCTATGAGCAGTCAAGACAAGAACTTTTTTGTCAGGAAAAGTGCTTTATGACGTTTTCAGAAAATTTTTGAAAGAGAAAACCATGGTTCGAGCGCTGCCGAAGAGTGTCATCGAGGACATCAGGGCGAACGCTCGACAAATGGAGCATCGATCTTTAGTCAAGCATTTCACTTACATTTTTCTTTCGGTTGGGTCAAAAACCTCGCCACTGCTCGCAATACCGTCTCGCTGTTCGATTAGATATCCGTCGATGCAAAAATTGGACTAGAATCCGGCCATGGCTGCACTATTAATACCCACTCCCGTTTCGAAAACAACAAACCGCCCATTCCGTCGTGCGATGCACTCACACTCCAAATTTAATCGATCGCAGCTACAGTCAACTTGCCGATTCACATGTTCAGGGCAAAAGTGGTGCCGAAATCGCGTCAACAAGATGATGAAATGCTGCTCGACAAAGATCGAATCTCCAGGTTACCAGCTCGATGCACTCGTGCTCAGTATTACTGGTTTGCTCTGGTGCTAGTTATAATGCTCACAACTGGAATCAGCGGTTTATGTTTGCTCCGAATAGACAGCTTGAGCCCAGAGATTGTCACTCTTGACCGGAACGCAACGACAGCAACGACGGCTACAAATAAAACACCTACTAGTCTTCGGATTGGAGATCAGAATGAAACATCTGTCAGCCTTCAACCCAAAGATCAATACAAGACTCCTACTAGTCTTCAAATCGAAGACCAAAATACGACATCTACCAGTCTTCAGATTGAAGATCAAGACAAGACTCAAATCTTAGATCAAGACAAGACATCCGCCAATCTTCGGATTGGTGACCAAGACAATACACCTCATCAGAAACGCCAAGTAGACCAGAAACGATTCGCCTACTTCTTCTACGTGACCAGCAACACGTATGCGTGCGCAGCGATACAATTCATTCACCACCTCGTTAACGATCTCCAAATGAACTCGAGTCGCATCGATGTTGTCGTGATGCATACTATTCATGCCAATGCCCCGCTTCTCCATAAACTACAAGATCGATATCACGTTCGCACTATACTCGTTGACTCAGTAAAGGCCGACGCAACAGAGCCGACCTGGAGAGAGTCATTGACCAAGCTCCGGGCATTCCAGGACTGGGGATACGATCGCGTCGTGTTCTTTGACGCAGACGCTGTACCCATGGCTAACCTGGACCACCTTTTCGATTTGCCCCCTGCCACTCTATATGCCCCAACAGCGTATTGGCTCGAGCAGCCATTTTTCGCTAGTACGCTGCTGGTAATCGAGCCGAGCGATGAAATCTTCAACGATATGATTCGATGGGCACGCGAGCGAGGGCCTGCTGCCGGCTTTGACATGGATATTCTCAATACGTACTTTGCAAATTCGGTACGATACCTGCCAGGAGTGTATACTGTGCTCAATTCGGACTTTCGTCGTGCACCCACTGAGAAATCGACTCTATTCGATACAACAGCTGAGCTGAAGGAGAAAACCCGACTAGTGCATTTTTCGTGCAAACCTGATGGGTCGTACGGTAAGCCGTGGAATTGGCCATCGCACGATTTGAGCTTGCTTGATGGTGCACGGTTTGATCCATTATTTCGGCAACTGTTTGTGGAATACTGGCACGGAGAACAGGAGCTTTGTGCAAGCTAAGAGTCGACACTAGACGTCGTAAGAATATTATTTTACATAGCTTTTATATGCTGAGCAGGTTACACTCGAAGTTTATCGCAGCCAGTCGTCGGAGGTATTTTTCTTTTTTAAAACAATAACTTTGTGCAGTGCTAATGGTGCACCGTAAAGTAACATGTGAACTGTCAGCCCCCACGATACGCGTGGTGGCAAAACCCTCGAACGAGTCTCTCGTCCTTTATATTCATGGGGTGATTCTAGTCTCTCTACCGATCCAAACGAATAAAATAATCCATAGGATTGCCCGACTGATTATGTTAGTCATTGACCAGACTCTGCGTCATTGCAACCTTCAATTGCTGATAACTTAGTAGTACAGACAATACTCTTTTTGTAGCGATAGCCATTTGTACTACTATCCGGGG